GATACATGGAGGCTCAGGGAACAGGAAGGTGACAACACCCATGGCCTTGAGATGGGTGAGAAGGAAGGAAGAGGGCAAAGGGTGGCATTTGTAGCCAGAAGGGACAGCAAAAACCTGTGCTCCTGAGCTGGAAGCAAGGATGGGAGAAGCGTGTTGGGTCCACCTCTGCTCGGAGGAGAAATGTGACCCAGCTTGGCTCGGGCAGGGATCCAAAGGGGGAAACAGKCAAGAGGAATCACAGAACACAAAAGGGTTTGGGTTGGAAGGGATTTTAAAGCTCATCTTGTTCCACACCTTCCACTGTCCCAGGGTGCTCCAAGCCCTGTCCAGCCTGGCCTTGGACACTCCAGGGATCCAGGGGCAGCCACAGCTTCTCTGGGCACCCTGTGCCAGGGCCTCCCCACCCTCCCAGGGAACAATTCCTTCCCAATATCCCATCCATCCCTGCCCTCTGGCACTGGGAAGCCATTCCCCCTTGTCCAAAGTCCCTGTCCAGGGAAGTGAAAACCCTTCCAAGCTGCTTCAGTGCACGAGGGATCAGCCCAGCAGGGTTCAGAGATGATGTGGAAGGTCTCATTATGGAGGATCAGGCTGATGGAGCAGATCTTTTGCCAGGCTCTTGCCACTGTCTGGTTCCTTGGCCAGAGATGTTTGTTTTGCTTTGGACTGCACCAGAATCAATCCTGGAGCAAGAACCACGTGGGTCCTTCACCCGGCCCTGCCACGCAGTTTGTTTTCCCACCAGCTGTAAATATGAAACCAGGGCTATTTGTATCTTTGACATTAATTGACTTCTYGAATTAATAACTCTTCTGTGTAACCAGGAACACAATTATTGCTTTGTTGTGCTGATATCCAGCTGGAAGGGATCGTTCCTAGCAGGAAACTCGATTGTACTAATTAAGCTGTACGAGCCTAACAGGAGGCGGGTCACGGTAACCTGTCCCCGGAGGTGCCTCCYCTGCCATTATCCATGGATGGCTCTGCAGAGCCAGGATGGAAGGAGAGCCCGTGTGTGCCTGCTCAGGCCTTCCAGGCAGGAGGGATGAGTGGCTGATGGATGAGGTGGGACAGGGATGTGCCTGGTTATACATCCTGAAGTGTGCTGACAGCCTACCCTGCTTTCCACACCCAGATTTTGTCTGTTTAGACAGAAAAACCTGAGAGAGGAGTGGTGTTTTTTTCTGATGCAGGAGCCCTCACACCCAAAGCCACARRCMCACAGCAGGRACCRTRCTCRGTGCAGAGCATCTGCTCTCCTGCAGTGACTGACTGGATGTGCACGGGGAGCAGGGTCTGGCTCTGCTCCCAGCCCCACTCGTCAGTCTCTGGATGAGCACTCACAGAAYCACAGGATCTCCTGAGCTGGAGGCACCCACAAGGATCACCCAGTCCAGCTCCAGCCCCTGGCCCTGCACAGACCCCCCAACAATCCCCCCTGTCCATCCCTGGCAGCGCTGTCCCAACGCTCCTGGAGCTCTGGCAGCCTCGGGGCCGGGACCATTCCCTGGGGAGCCTGGGCAGTGCCAGCACCCTCTGGGGACAGAAGAACCTTTCCCTGGGGAGCCTGGGCAGTGCCAGCACCCTCTGGGGACAAAAGAATCTTTTCCTGAAATCCAACCTAAACCTGCCCTGGCACAGCTCCAGCCATTCCCTGGTCACCAGAGGGAAGAGAGGACCCAGGGATGCTTGGGGTTGGCAGGGACCCCATGCACCTCCTGCACCCCTGACCCCCAGCAGCAGATGACACATTTCCTCCTCTCCAAATCTCCTCAAYCACCTGTGCCCTGAGCTCACTGTGGCCAGTGCAGGGCACTGCAGACCACTGCCAGCAGTGATCACCCCACACACTCAGGGACAATGTTCCACTCAAGGAGACCCCAACCCCAATGTACCTACCCCCACATCTCCAATGTACCCCCACATCTCCAATGTACCCCCACATCTCCAGCCCCTGCACTTCTGCTCTTCCCAAGTTGGTGTTGAGGACAGAGAGCCTCAGCGTGTTCACTCAAGGGTTACATGGAGACAGCGACGGAGCTGCTTTGTTCAAACCATAAAAGAGTGCGTAAAACAAGGAGAGAAATTTTCCCATAATAGACTTTTCACTGGGCGTGCGTTGCTCGCTGTGTCCCCAAACAGATGGCTCTGCCAGCTCGGTGCCAGGYCTCCTAATCCACTCCAAGAGCCRATGAATCCCTGACCGAGGAGCTGCRGAACGCGGCAGACACCCGGYGACAGCGAAAATGGAGCCTCTCGATGTGCAACAACATCATCATTGGGCAAGAGCAGCACCAGGGAGCTGCCAGAGCGGGGCTGCTGGGATAGGGACCCACCCTGCCACCCCAGGGCTGGGCTGCTTGGCAGGGATGGGGGGCTGGGGGGCAGCAGGGGATGAGCCACAGTGAGCACTGAGCAGGGAGAAACGCGGGAGGAGGTGGAACGGCCGCCAGAAAGCACARCCAGAGGTGCTGAGCTCCTTTGGGTCACCTGGAGGGGAAGGTGAGGTGCTCTCAGCAGAGGGCTGCTCTGAGGTGTGTAAGAGACGGTACGTAAGTCCCGTACTGTCTCATGATCTTCGAGATGGACAGAGACTGAACACCCCAMAAAAACCCCAAGGGGAAGAAAGGGAGGCTTTTGCTCAAAGGAGTCCAAGCCAGATCAAGGTGGGATGACTGCCAAGTCTCCAGCTCCTAGGCTGGAAGGTACAACGTGTAAGCTATGGATAGTTGCACCGTTCCTGATGTGAAGACGGGAGAGAACGGCACGACCCCATGCTGAAAACAACAGACATTCTTTCCCCACCGCTTGGTTGGTTTTTCCATACTTTGCAACCCCCTGGTCTGCTGCCACCCGCTCTCAAAAAGACTATAAAAAGTCTCTCTGAAAAGACCCTGATGGGATCCCCCCAACGGATGCTGATGAATCCATGGAATCCGCACCCCAAGGGACTCGTTGGAGCCGTTGGTAGCTATGAACCCACTCTCTCCCTTTCTCTCTCTGTCTCTCTGTCTCTCTGTCTCTCTGTCTCTCTCTCTCTCTCACCCTCTTCTATCACGAAAATCCAATAAAATTGTTCATGATTATTGAATATATATATACTTGCCCTTCATTTCTTTTGCACTCTGAGATTCTGATAACGAGCCCCTCACAATTCCCGCTTGAGTTAAGTGGATCGTGACAAGGTGCCAGGAGTGTCAGGGGTGCCACCTTACCTGTACTGGGTGACAGCAGGGTTGGCCTTGGCGGAGCAGTGGAACTTCACAGTGTTGTCCTCCAGCACCGGCTGTGGCTCCACGGACAGGTTCACCAGGGGAGGGTCTGCAGAGAGACACAGGCTCGTGAGCAACCCAAAGCCACGGGGCAGCGTCCCCCTGCCTGCTGCCTGCCGGGTTCTCAGGCTGGAAGGCAAAATTTGGCTGTAAGGAAGCCTGGCAAGAACACCGAGACTCCTCGATGCTGCGACATGACAGAATCCCGGGATGGTTTGGGGTGGGAGGGACCTTAAAACTCATCCAGTGCCACCCCCTGCCATGGGCAGGGACACCTGCCACTGTCCCAACAATCCCAACCTGGCCTTGGACACTTGCAGCTTCTCTGGGCACCCTGTGCCCAGGCCTCATCATCCTCACAGGGAGCAATTTCTTCCTGAAATCTCATCTACTCCTGCCCTCTGCAGCGGGAAGCCATTTTTCAGTTTGAAGCCATATAACGATTGTCAGACAGGCTGATGCCACAAACGCTGCTCTTCTCTTGAAGGGCTTCAGCGAATAAGACAGGAAGAGGAGCCACAGACACCATTTGATGTAACATTTCACTTGGAAAATGTGACTGCTGGCTCTGATTCTCATTTAAGGACATAAACTTGCCTGCTTTGAGACACTCCTGTTTAATATCTCGCTGTATAACGATGATCTTTTGTCTTTCTCGAACTTTAAAGTGGCATTTCTGCTCTTTCATCAGCCTAATCATCTCTGCCAAGGCCTTGCTGGTGTCACAGTCTGCTCTGGTCTTCCAGCTGCTCCTCAGTTTCTCTCCTTTTYACATGAGAAGCATCTAAGTGCTTTAGCAGCAAATAAAATTTAGGAAAGAACYGATGAAAGCAAGTGGGAAATGGTGAAATGTTTAGATGGAGAATATCCAAAGCTGTTTTATTTTTTCTTGATGACTGAGGGGGGGTGTCAGGCCTTCAGCTTTWGGTTTTAAGCATGGGAGACCTCATTTGAGGGGGAAAGGCAGAAAGAAATGGCCTTGTGGAGGGTGTTTTTGGTGCCTGAAAAGCCAGCTGTGCCATGGAAAGGGTGCTGGGGGTGATAGACCCAGCTGTTCAGTGCTCCAYCAGCCTCTGGGAGAATAACCTTGTCCTGAAATCCAGCCTAAACCTCACCTAGGAGGGGCTCTCCTGCCCTTGAGGTGTGCTGCACATATGCAAAAACAGACCCTAAAATAGGACAAGTTAYGTGTTCACCTTTACCTGCTGCCTCTCTCCTCTTCCTGTGTCTCAGCAATGCCCCTCCCAGCTGGAAAAAGGGGAAAGGCTGGAGCTGACAGGGCATGGGGTCAGAGAAGCTGGTTGGTACCCCTGGCCGAGGGCACATCCCGGAGCRCTGGGTGTGGGGTCAGCGCTGGACACGGCACAGGGCTCGAGTTCCTGCAGGAAACCACGGCTCCGAGGAGTGTCCTTGTGTTTAACAGGGATGGAAATTCCCCTGCTGACCTCTCCCTCGGCCAGACACAGCTCAGGGTSCTGCTGGAGCCGCCTGGCTCCGGCCAACGCTCAGCGCCTTCGCTGGGGCAGTGGGCTCCAACTGGGCACACTGGGGTGGGAACAGCGCCCAAAGCATCCCCGGGCTCTTCCAACCCTGCGAGGTGCGAGGTCACCAGCCTGGGGACAGAAGGGACTCTCGGAGGTGGCCTGGCGGTCACCTTGGCTGGGCGGGAGGGGAGAAGCAAAGGCGGAGCCCCTCCAGCGCCTCCTTCTCCTCCGCCCCGCGGTATTTACCCAGCCGGAGCCCGGCTTTTGTTGTGAGCGAAGCCACCTGCCTTCCTGATGGGAAATTATGACGGGGAAATTATAGGTATTTTCAATTTACCCTAATTTCATTTTAAAATGTGCAATTCAAATGACAATAAAGATGGGCGCAGTTGGGAATATAAATGAGCTTTCCCTGACACAGCAGCCCGGAGATGTATGGCGGGCTCCTAATTCATTCCCAGGCATCCTGACACTTCCCTATTGTTAGACAACAACAGCTAATCACCTTCCTTTGTTAAGTATGAATCACACTTCTCTTTAGTAGCTTCCCCATTGTTTGATGGGTTAGGAGCTGTGCCTGCGATTTACAGAGGAGCCTCTTTGTATTAAAATGAGCCCGGCTCCCTCCTGCACTCAAAATAATAATAATAAAAAAAAATTAAAAAGACAAAAAAAAAGAAAAAAGAAGAGCAAAGGAAATGAATTAAAGTCTTTGATCTCGCCTTTCAGAAACGGGATTGGGTTTTCGAATATTGAGGGTGCCGCGGATAGCGTGGGCTTGTGTGTGTGTCAGTGTGTTTCGGGGCATTTTAAAGGGAAAAAAGACACAAATTGTAACTCATCAGGATGTAATTCCGCTCGGTTACAATTATAATTCCTGCCTGGCTTCTTGTAATGAATTTGAATGATGGAACGAGATAGAGCCAGCCTACAGGCGGCGGGAGGAGAGGGTGCGAGTGCTCGTGTAGGTAACGCGTCGCACCGGGACGGGCACCGGGACCAGCACTGGGGCCAGCACTGGGACAGGCACTGGGACCAGCATTGGGACCAGCACTGGGACAGGCACTGGGACAGGCACTGGGACCAGCATTGGGGCCAACATTGGGACCAGCAGTGGGATCAGCATTGGGACCAGCACTGGGACAGGCACTGGGACCAGCATTGGGACCAGCATTGGGACCAGCAGTGGGACAGGCATTGGGGCCAGCATTGGGACCAGCAGTGGGATCAGCACCGGGATCAGCACTGGGACAGGCACTGGGACCAGCCCTGGACCAGCACCGGGACCAGCATTGGGATCAGCAGTGGGATCAGCACCAGGACCAACACCGGGACCAGCACTGCTCCTCACCAGCCCCACAGCCCAGGAGTCACCCTGGCAAGCCCCTCAGCTCCCTCTCGTCCCCCTCAGCCCCTCAGGAATGGCCATGAACTGAGCTCCGTGGGCTGCGGGCGCTGTTCTGGCGCTTGCCTTGCTGGGTGTGGATCCCTCTCCACGCTCCTCTCCCCTGAGTACAAACCCTTCCAAACCTCTTCTCTGAAGCTAAAATGCCACTTCAGCCTTGGGCTTTGCAATCCTCAGTGGGAAGCACAAGAGGGGATCAAACACAGCGAAGCTCCAAGGATAAACGCAGCAGGAGATCCTCCAGCACAGCAAAGTGCTCCTCATCRCCCTCCACCTTCCTTCTCCTCCCACCTTCCACAAAAACACACAGATGCAGCCAAATCCCTTCTTGCCATGACAAAAAAAGGTGTAAAAATGAGCAACTGCACATGTGTGTGCAGAGGCTCAGAGCAAATGGCTTTAGATAAGCAATAACCCTGCTCCTCCCCATCCCGGCACGCCGGGTGTGCATTTCCACAGAGCCACTGGGCTCCTGCAGTATAAATAGTTTATGGCATATCAAACTATTAAACATGATTTTAATCCCACTTGTGATGTTCGACGCATAACTCACAGGAGGCTGACTTTGATGTGGCTGGTGGAACGGAAATCACATTGAACAGATGTTCCAGCTGGAGCTGCTTAGTGTTTCCATTGCAGGCCCTGCACTGGGGCTTTTTCCAGCTCCTTCCACCCCACCCCCCCACATCCCCCCTTTTTTATGTATTTGGAAGGGAAATGTTTTATGACTCAGCTTTTTCATTGCTGCTATGATGGTCAGGCCTATCATCATTGATTGGGAGCTCAASTCCAACTTTCCATCAGCTGAAGGAGGATAATCTCTCCCACCACACTCACACCATCCCTAGGAGTAACCCCCATCCTGGCATTTCTCTGCTGCCTGTGAGCATTGCTGATGCTCTTTTTTGAGTTGCAAAAGCAAATGAAAGAAAGCAGTAGGAGTGATTTACCCGGCTGCTGCTTCCTGGGATGGATTATTTTTGGTTGCCTGGGATTATTTTGTGAGGTCGTCTCTCAAACGGTGCAGCTGGGTGATGTTTGCTGCGGTGTGAATTCAGCCTCCACTGCTGGAGAGTGCAGGGTCTGGGGGATGCAGGAGCTCATGCCAGGCTGGGAAGAGCTCCCCAACCAAAAATTGCTGCCTGCTTTTCATTATTCTTGCAGAAACCACTCCTTTCCCCCCCAATATCTGCTGGATATTGCAAAAAAACCCACGAGCAGGACCTCCTRTCATAACTGGCATGGTACAGAGGAGCACACAGCCCACCCTGACTTCCCAAAACAGTGAAAAATGAGTGGCCCAGATAATTTTGGCTTGAGAAAAGYACCTTCAGCTCTTTGCAAAGGAAGTGCAGCTGGTTGTCTGCAAGGCTGGGAGTGAAACCTAGTGGGCTAAAGCTGGGTCAATAGTTGCACCTGATGATCTTAGAAGTCTTTTCCAACCTTAACAATTCCATGATTTTGCGACTAGATGCAGCTAGAGCTCTTGCATCTGGGTCAAAATCCATCCCACCTCARCATGGTTAATCCATCTTGGTGTTTTTCCATCCCATCACCCATCCAGCTTCGGGAAATTGATATCCTCATTAGCCCCCATTAAGAACAACATACTTTTAGTAGCTGGGTAGAATATTATTGTTATTATATTCACAGCATGCAGTATTTAATAGCTCCAAGTGGAAAATGGTGTTCTTTATTGTTTTTTTTTCCCTTTCCCAAGCAGATTCCACSTGGCTGAGGGATTCAGCTCACGTCTCCAGCCCTCACTGTACTGCCCGGTGTAATGATGTCTCTGCTCCACGTTGTTTGTGTGAGTGTGTCTCCAGCTATTGTAGCTGTTTGCTGGCTGTGAAATAACCCAGGCTATTATCTCATTTTATCTGCCCAGTTCTGTCAGGACATGCAGCCAGCGACCCAAGAGCCTGGTAATCTTCCGGCAGCAAAAGCTGGAAGTCTTAAATGGTGGAATTTTCTGCTGCGCTTGAGTTTGTTCAGTTGCGTTTGCCAGTTTTAATTGGTCTCTGGGAAGCAGCTGGCATGCTAATATTGAACACCCTGCTTTTGCAAATCGTGGGTAAATACAGCTGCAGGAATGGGGGTGTGAATGGAGCCCGGCTGGAGGGGGTCAGGAGGAGCCCGAGAGCAGCAGAGGAGGAGGGA